TCAAGTAATAATAATGGAAGTATTATAGTATCATCTCCTAAAGGATTATAGATTGTAATGTTGGGTTACTTTTCAAGTACCAATGATAAAAGCCTAAAATCTTATATTTAAACAATTGAAAATTTAAGGGACGTGTGCAAAATAAGAAAACAAAAGATTGAAAGCAGTATAGGCTTGGATCTTGACTTCACCAACTATCACTTGACAAGTAAAAAAGTATAACCACAAATTAGATCTAAAAGAATAAGAATAAAAAGCTTGAAAACAAGAGAGAATGATTGCCAAATGCTTGTAAAGAACTTGAAATAAGATTGCATAACAATAAACTTGTAGATCATCAAAGGGAATGGTAGCCGAAACTTGTAAAGAAAAATAGGAATGCTTGAATCAAACTTGTCAAATAAAAAGAATACTTTGCCGAAATTGAGAATGTAAAAAGTAGAATTGAAACTATAACAAAAAAAGAAAAGATCTTGGAAAAATACTTCTTTGAACTGAAATAAAAGAATTTTAAAGAACAAATCTTTGTTATTGGTAAATCTGTCACTTAAGCCAATAACTAAACTAAAGAAAAAAATAACTAAGAACTAAAAAAGAGAAGAGAAGTAAGAAATGGAATGATGAAATGGGGTGAATGGCTTTCTTATTTATAGTGAAGGATTCGGCCAAGGGGGATAAGATTACAAGACTTTGATTTAAATTTAAATACTTGATGATAGAGCTCATCTTCATATTCTAATAACCCATGGCCGAATGGGACTCTTCTTTTTTTAGAATACTTGGCCAAATAAGGTGTCTAGGATGCAATCTTGACCTTTAATGAAATTTTCTATGAATCCCCTCATTGGATTTAGTTAAGATGAGTTTGAAGAGTAAGGATTTGAATTTCATCTAACTCTTGAAGAGATAAAGTCTTCCTCCAAGCAAAACTCTTCAAAACTAAGCCAAAATGCCATGATCCCTCTTAAACTCTCCTTGGCCAAATGTATCTAGCCTTTATATTGTTGAAAATTGCATGAAATCCTTCTTGAATTGAGTCTTAGCCGAATGAAAAGAGATAAAAATCCTTGTGCATGCTTAACTTTTCCAAGACCAATCAAAAAAAGTTTTTCTTGGATAAAAACACCTTTGGTCAATCATGCAAAGTCCATTGTAGCTTGAAATTCTTCAAATATCACATATATGCTTGATCTCCTTTTAGAAGTGAGCTAGCTTAATACATGTAGAGTACCTATGCAACATTCCTTCATGGCTAAATACAAAAGTCACTCATGAAGTAAATCTTTTTGGCCAAATATAAATGAGAGTCCATGTGTAACTAAAACTCTTCTTTTTGTTGGATAGTTGAAGGAACTGCACCAATGAGGTTCAACCCACCCTTGGTCTTGTATGGCCAAATATGCCTTTGCATGCATGGATTGTATGCTTTCCTCATTCATAAGCTTGAAACCCCAAAAATCATAAAATTGGCATTAAGGCACTAAAAATCAACAAAGTTTTAAATTTTTGTACTCATTTTAACATGTAAAAACATATATTTTTAGGTGCTATCATTTCATAAGCAAGAGTATAACTATATGCTTGTCTCAACAACTTTTATCAATATCCTTTTATTGATAAGGCATTAACTAGGAACAATTTTGGAATAATTTTTAAGCAAAAATGATCTCATAATTACAATCTCATTTTAATTTCCTTGCAAAGCTTTATTTATATTCCGAAGACTTTATCATATAAGCATCAACATTAAGATATATGTATACAAGCTCAATAATAAAGAAATAAGACTTTTACAAGATATCAAATATCAAAGTACTATAAATATGGTAATATCTTAGCAAAATATCATTCAGCTTAAAAGGCCAATACCAACATATTTAAGATTAAGAGAACTTTCATTTCTTATAATTAGATAGGAAAAGAACTCTTGCAATCCCAATCTCCCCTTAGCTGAACCTTTTATTATAAATAAGGAGGCTCTTTTTTATATTCTACATCCCATTTTTCACATCCTCTCCTCTTTTTTTTTTCTTTAGTATTTTAGGTTTCTTTTAAGTTTTTTTGTATTAGGCTAAGGTGATAGATTAACCATTACAAAATTCTTGTTTTCTAAATTCTTTCTTTATTTTAAGACAAGCATTTTTTTTTCTTCTAAAGCTTTCTCTATTTTTGGTTTACAAGTTCTTTTAATGCATTTTTCATTTTTTCAAGTTCTTTTATGTTCTTTAAGTTTCAACAATCACTCTTTTATTCATACAACCCTTCGGTTTATATAAGATTCATTTAATTATACTTTTTTTATACAATTACAACTTTTGACCATTATCATATTTATTTCTTTCAAAGTTTTCAATCTTTGTTTCTTTAGATCTAGTATTCAGCCTTAATCCAAGATTCTTAATGATAGTTAGATAATGAGATGTTGGCCTATATAATTGTGTTCTTGATTTATTTACAATTGTTTTCCAACCAATTTTTCATTAGTTTAGATATAAGATAGTGATTAGTTGACTTTGGTACTTGAATCCACCCAACAAATTTTAATTCTATAATTCTCAAAGGGATGATACTTTACTTACTTATTACTTAATTATGATCTGTACACTTGCAAACATTACAAAAAGTAGCAATTACAGTTTTCGAGGTCCTTAGTGTTCATCCTATAATGGCTTTCATTATAAAGGGAATGGTCAACCTCCAAGTCAAACATGAGGCAAGGTCTATGGAAACATTATAAGGTACTATAAAAAGAGGAAGAAAACCTTGGTTTCACCCCTTTATCAAGCTCAGTGAGTGAAGAGCTAATGTCAGATGTAGCAAAAATTGACCCATAAGGAAATATCAAGGCAAAAGGATTCTAAGTAATAGGGTTGGTGGAGTTCTCTAGGTCCTCAGTGTTCATCCTATAAAAGTCCTCATTATGATGGGAATGGTAGGCCTTCAAGTTAGACTTAATGTTGACTAGATAGGTAGGGTCTATAAAAAATGCTAGAAGGTAACGTAGAAAGAGGAAGAGAAACCCTTCTCAATACCCTCAACAATCGGGGTAACCAAGGAAAATGCCCTAAGGTTGGCTTGGGAATCACTACCAATGGTCACTATAACCCCTAAGCTATTATGCTATTGTCCCCAAAACTCTTATGCTATTGTTTAACTCCCTAATGGCCTCGTCATTCATACTATTTAACCAAAAGGCTATCTTAAAATCGTTCTAACCATTAGTTATGGAAAGGATAATGTCATCTTTAAGGATCTTTACCCTATTTGGTTGGTTTTCATCCCTAAGGTAGGCAGAAAGGGTAAGGATAAAAAAGAAACAAGGTTGTCCAATGAGTTAGACATTTTTAGAAAAACTAAGAAAAATTTAAGATGTATTGAGGAGATTAATGGAAAAAATTTTTTAAAACAAGAACTCAAATTGTGAGGAAAACTGTAAGATGCTAAAACCGCTTTGAAAGTTGGAAATGGTAAAGTATGGGTAGGGAGAAGTGATCAGTATATATAGGGAAAAGTTGAAATTGATAAACGAATAGGATGAAGTCACATCATTAGTGCAAAAATCGAAAATGACCCTTTGGTTCCTCGTCTTAAATGCAAAAAAATAATAACTAAAAAACTAAATAATAATAATAATAAATACATGTAGTGATGATGATGTGTCACCACTCTCCTCATACAAATGATCACGTGTGAGATATGCTCAAGTTTAACCTTGGATTGCCTGAGGCCAATAGACCTCAACAATCAGTTCGATGACCTAAACCAAAGGAGGAGCACCTATCGAGCATAGGCCCTGGATGTATTACCGATGCTATCAAGGTAAGTTAAGACTAGATACGCACCCTATGAATCAGTACAAGGAAGAGATAAACATATGCTCTCAGATCCCTTCAAAACATATCGATCTGACACATTAGACCTTTTGATAGGGGGATAAAATGATGAGGGTATTTGGAGGTCCAAAGGGAAAACTAGTACTTTCATTATGGGGAGTGAGTCAAAAAAGTTAAAGGAGCTTTTTCGACATTTGGTTTAAGCTGATATGGCTTACAGACCTTATTTCTTGGAGTTGACCTTAGTTTTTCTAAGCCAATGTCCCACCTGATAATAGACTTTGTGATTCATGTATTTTATAATGTAAAATAATGAAATTCGTATATTTGTGTTTTGTTTTATATAAAAATTATGTGTCACAATTTGTATCGATAAGAAAATATGAAATACATTTTTTTGATTTTGTTAAACCTATATATAGTTATTGCTAAAATTTTAAATCGTATCACTTTTATGTCTTGTATTCGTATCATGTTCATGTCATGTTATTATGTCATGTTTTAAATTATCACATTTACTTGACAAGCGCATTATCATATTTTGGCAAAAAGACCAAATCCCAAAAAATTCTCGTCTAGCATTTCCTTTTTCCTTTCTTATCTCTTTTTTTTTATTATTTATTTCTTCAAGTATTGATTTGAGCATTGGAATACAAATGTTAAAGATACCTCCGACCCTTACTTTTAATTGACTTTTCATCATTGTGATTTTATGTTTTCAACACTCGTATCAAGCTCGACACAAAGTGTGACCTTGGGTGTAAGTGAAGCGTGGTGAGAGTAAAAAATATTTCAATTATAAAGGTGTAAAAAATAAAAATTATATATTAGTACTTTAAGAGGAAGATCTTACATAATATAAATATTACTTATTTTTTATTTTTAGATCAAAATAGTTTAAGATATTTCTCGTTTTTTAATTTTTGGATTAAAATAATTAAGTGTTAGTGTTATAGATTTTATTTTGATCAAAAATAAAAAAAATATAATACTTACACTTGTATAAGTGAATCTTTACTTTTATTTTAATTAATTAATTCAAAATAAAAAACAGTTTTTTCCAATAAAAACAAATGTTAGGCACGAAAGTGAATAATGTGCCACATCCCTAGTTAAATCTGAAGACTGATATTAACTTAAAAAATGTAAAAAACAAAGTTCAAAGGTTAAAAAAAAGGGCAAAAACTGCTCTACGGCCTAAGCTAAAACCCAATCATCTTCGGCTGCGGAACTTAAACCCCGAAAGCCAAGTAAAAACCCTTGGTTGGATGACCCCGTTTCTGACTCTGATTCTGAGAGCAGACATGGCGGGTCCTTTGCTCCTCCGCTCTCTCTTGTCCGCCAACACTAGGAAATCCCTTTCCTCTCACTTGGTCCGACTTCCCCACCTCTACCGCAGGTTTTCCATAGGGCCTGGGAGTGCTGCTGCCGCTTCCACAACAGATCCGAATGCGTGTTTGGAGCCGAGTAGACTGCGGAACGTGGCGGTGATTGCGCACGTGGACCACGGGAAAACCACACTGATGGACCGTCTGCTGAGGCAGTGCGGAGCCAACATCCCCCACGAGCGAGCCATGGACTCCATCAGCCTTGAGCGTGAGCGTGGCATTACTATTGCGTCTAAGGTGTTTTCTTCTTCTTCTTCTTTACTTTTTTGCATACTGTCAAAATGCGTTAAACATTAAGTAACATATTAAGTCATTCAATAATTCAATCGAACAATTGCAGGTCACTAGTATTTCATGGAAAGAAAATGAGTTCAACATGGTTGATACACCTGGACATGCTGATTTTGGTGGTGAGGTATGTTTCATCTGAGCTGCAAAAATAACAGTCTCTTTCTCTGTTCTTTATATGATCATGCAAAAGAGATTTACTGTAAAGCAACAATGCAAATACTAAAGTAGTAATACAATAATTATTTGATTCACCAAAAAAGTAGGGATACAATGGTATGTCTTTCTCATGTATGTTTGCCATCTAGAAGTGAAATGCTTTAATGCACAATAGACTGAACTTTGAAAACTCTGATCCATTTTATTCATAGTCTACAATTTATAAAATTACTGGTATTAGTAATTATCAGTATTCTGTATTTTTTATTTAAGGCCAAGACTTTGCACTCTTTTGAATGTTAAGGTATTCAACTTGCTGGATTTTGCTTGTTTTTATTGCTGAATCTTCAGGTTGAACGTGTTGTCGGCATGGTTGAGGGAGCAGTATTAGTTGTTGATGCTGGTGAGGGACCACTTGCACAGACAAAGTTTGTTCTTGCCAAAGCCTTGAACTATGGGCTGCGCCCTATTCTTCTGTTGAACAAAGTAGACCGACCTGCTGGTATAAATTTAATAGTTGTTATCTTCATGGTTTTGATTTACGGAAACTGAAATGTTATTCATGATTTTTTTAATTGCAAAAATGTTTTCCTGTTGGTGAGAAATTACTTACACTCTTAATTTTTCCTTATAATGTTTTTTATGCAAATGAAAGAATCTTTAGACCTTATGTCCCAATTGTTAATGATGCAGTATCAGAGGAGAGATGTAATGAAGTTGAGAGCCTAGTTTTTGATCTTTTTGCAAATCTCGGTGCTACAGGTGAAGCAATATAGGATTACCAAAAATTCTATGATTTTATCTGCTTCAGATTTGTTTCACTTTAGCCTAATTACTCTGGATACTGGTATAATTTTAATATATTTTCACATATTTTCATTCTAGAGGAGCAGCTCGACTTTCCGGTCCTCTATGCTTCTGCTAAGGAAGGATGGGCATCTTCAACCTTCACCAAAGATCCTTCTGCTGGTGCTAAGAATATGTCTCAGTTGCTTGATGCCATTGTAAGGCATGTTCCTCCACCAAGTGCAAACCTTAATGGATCTTTCCAAATGCTGGTTAGTGCTCATGTTGATTAATCGATTAAAAACATGTCTTTGTGTCTGCTATAGGAGAAAAGGCTCTAGTTATTTTTATCCTTTTCACAGTTCTTTTATGCTATAATTTTCTTATGTGAATATCTAGAAAGATAATTACTAAGCATTTCAGGTTTCCATGATGGAAAAAGACTTTTATCTTGGGCGAATATTAACTGGGCGTGTTTCATCTGGTATCATTCGTGTTGGTGATAAAATACATGGCTTGCGAAGCAAAGATTCTGGCATTGAGAAAATTGAAGAAGGAAAGGTTTGTAGCTCTACATAGCCTGATTGTGATTGGAAGTAGAGGAAAAGTTTGACTTAAAATAATCCTCTAGATAAAATTTTTGAATTTATATTTCATTGAGCTTTTGCTTCTCATTGATATGTTTTTGTGGTTAATGATGCCATCCCAGTGCCCATGGAATACCTGAATCCTGGCCTGCAGGTTGGGATTAAAATATGCTGGTAATTTTTGTTTCTGTGATACATTACAAGAAAGAATTACTTTATGATAGTAAAACTAAATTTGATCTCTGATATTATGCTTTCCTATTGCTTTTCTATGGTAATCCATTCTTCTGAACTTCACCAATTTCTCTGACCATTAGAAGTCTGTTTGGTGTTTTCTTCAACCTCTACTTTCTTGAAGATAATAGTGAAAGGATTTTGTAAAGGACAAATCACTATTAACCTAATATGGAACATCAATAGGGATCTTGAAAAACATGCTTTCTTGGGAGTGTTTTTTCATTAGATGTATGGAATGCCTAAAATTGCAGATTAGAAAATTTATTTCCCAATTAGTATTTTGAGTGCATATGAGCAAGGGATTTTAAAAGGAAATTTCAATTGCGAATTGATTTTGGAACTTACTAAAAATTTTAAACCTGTCCAAGGTGTTTGTTAAAGGTATTATTTTAAAGACCAAATTACCCAATCCGAATTGGGCTAAATAGGCATCATAACAAATCTATCTTATCTATGACCTCTGTGTTCCCTTTTTTATGTGTCCCCTTTCTATGGTCTCTCCCTGTCTCTGCTCTTAAATCAAGTAGACAAGCATTAAATGTTGTATATATTATCAAATAAAATTTTTTTAAGTATTTAAAATAAAAACACAGGTTTTAAAATCATGTAGTATGCATTTGTGTTTAAGAATGAAGTTATGGAAGTATAAAATCAACATTGGAATGAAAAGAGGCAAGAGCAATGGACTACTCGATGAGCTACTAAGCAGGAGCAGTCGACTGCCCTAGCAACTGCTCATGAACAAAATTGGTCACGGACTCTTGGGTGACATTTTGACAAAAAACTGTCATAAGTACTCGACTGCTAGTTGGGGCAATTAACTTCTCTCGAGGGGAAGGGGGCAATTGACTACTCCTTGAAGTAGTTGATTGCTCAGGCTCTTCACATATTTTGTTTAAGCTTTAGGCAAGAGTAGTCAAATGCTCTATAAGGGTAGTCGACTTCCTGACAAGCAATACAATATGTGTGAAATTTTGTCTAAGGCAGTGGAATGCTCTGGTGAAGGAAGTCAAATGCTTGACAGGATTTTCCATTCTGTTTGACAATTTGCCTAGAACAAGCCTTTCTGAAAAATAAAAAAATCTGTCTGAAAAGTAAAAAAATCCGGCTTCAGTCCCAAAGTGATAATTCTTCATCCAAGAGGTATCCATTCATGAAGGGGTGTTTCAAGTACCAGTTGGTACATATAAATACTTCTGTTAACATTCACTGAACACAACTTTACATTAAAAAATCTCTCAAAATTCAGATTACTTTCCTTCACATTCATTTTCTTGTTTTGGTTTATGTGAGTTTGAGAAGAACTTGACGTGCAATCCGGTTCTTCTTTGTTTTGGGCACTGTATCTAGGGGATAGCATTTTCCGGAGGCCATTTGCACCATAATGGGGAAACTATTATCTTTAAGATAGGTTTCTGGAAGTGCCTTACCTAAAGAATCCTTCTTTCTTCTCCATTGTTGGTTGCGGCATTGTTTGCCATAACTACGTCTTTTCTTGCCAATGTTGGTGTTTTTTATTGTTGGCACCTCATTCTCTCTCCAATCTTCTTCTTTTTTTATATAACGTGTAACTTTTTTTTTATCTCTAGTTTCCAGAACCTCAGATGTGACTTTAATGGTCATAGAAATTGTTGGGAGGTGTGGATAGAAGGTTTTCTGGTACTTAGTTTGAGATTAATGGGTTTGGTGTAATTGCATGAAATTTTCAAAATTTGAAAGGTTGTAGTACAATGGTTTGAGGTTGGAAGGAAGTGCAATTTCAAATTTCAGAATATTTACCTAAACCACTCATTTTTAACTTCCCAAAACAAATTTTGATTGCAGGATTTTAAATTCTGCAATTTTAAAATCTAAGAAATTTTGTAATACCACACCCAAAAACTGTGTAAGTGAACTTAAATGGTGTCAATGCACCTCTCTTTCTAGGCCTAAGTTCTCTTAAATCTTTGTAACCTGATCCTTTTGTTTGTCTTATGAGTAATTCTTTAGTGATTCAGATTGAATGCAATCATTGTCTTGTAGGTTGTGAAGCTAATGAAAAAGAAGGGTACAAACATGGTTCTTATTGATAGTGCAGGAGCTGGCGATATTATATCAATTGCTGGGCTGGCTAGTCCATCAATTGGCCATACAGTAGCAAATACAGAGGTATGCTTTTATCATTGTAATAAAGATAAGTTGAGTGCTTGTGTTGACTTTACTAGTTTTACAGTATACTACGAATATTGAAGTTAGTCTTGTTATTTTTATCTTCTTGTGCAAGGCAAAATCTGCCAAATGCGATCTATTTAGGTTTGTATGGCCATTATATTCAACTTTTAAGCACAAATGATACAGGAAATGACCCACTGATGTGTTCTTTCAAGTAGTGTACTTGCCATTTTGGTAGCACCTCTCTGGGACTTGGGCCTACAAAAGTTAACCAGGAAAATTATTTCCCTCATTTTCTGATGTTTGGTAAGCCAAAAAGAATTTGGTCAATTGATTTTTTTTATTCCCAATCAATGAAGAATGTGGCCTAAAATGATAATTACTAACCTTTAAGGTTTGATAGATCTTAAGGTTAATTCAGTGATCTGCTGGTTCCTCAGGTGTTTTTGGAACAGTGAACTAGTTTTAGGTCCTGAGGAACAATTTTCGAGGTCATGTATAAAAAGTAATGCCTATTGAATTAGGATGCTTTTTTTTTGTTTTTGCTTCTATTTATATTTTGGAAGAAAATCTTTTGTTTAGAGCATGCAAAGCTTACCTCAGCCCCAAAGACCTATCCAACACCCTTGAACCTTGAACCTGGCTCAATGTGATTCGACTATAATGTCAGAGCCAAATCCTAATCCACCCGAACCCCATCAGTAAATAACTAATTAATGTAATTTAATTTTCTATTTTGTCTTTTTATGTGATCTAATGGTTTTTCTTCTTTTTTTTTTTTTTTTTTTAATTCTGCCTTCTGATTTCACAATTCAAATTGGGTTGATAAAAGCTAACTCCACCTGAATGACCTGTTTGAACCCAAACTGGCCCAGTCTAATTTGATTTTAAATGTCAACAATTTGAATAATCAACCCAGAATCCCTCAAATTGAAATGGCTTGAACCTAAAGTAACCTAAATTTAAATGATCCAAACTTTAAATGACTTGAAATGACCTAATTTGAGGTAATCCAAATCAAACCTGACTTGATCTGGCCAAAGTGCAACCTCTACTTTTATTCATTGCTTCTTTTTTTAATGAGAAAGTGTGTTATGTAGGTTTAGTCTATGGAGAACTTGTGAGTTCAGATTTAACCAGAAATGTTGAAATTTAATCTTGAACTTATATTTACTTTTAATTTCTGTGCTGCAATAGGACTTTCAATTGTTTGTGAATGGATGATATAACTATACAATTTCTGCCCTTCATATTTGAATGATTGCCAATTTGATGTTTCACTGTAGTTCACATCTACCTAATGGAATACATGTTACATATTACATTTAATGTCTCAGAGTCATATAAAGTTTTGACAGCTTGGATTTATGTATAAATTGAATTGTTCTTACATTTTTAGGTTATGACTGCATTGCCAACCATTGTGTTGGACCCCCCAACCATTTCCATGACTTTTGGTGTCAATGATTCTCCATTAGCAGGTCGTGATGGTACCCATGTAAGTTGTGTATTTGTCTGCCTTCCCTCATCAATATATATTTTGCTATTTGTTATTTGCTTGTTGGTTTTGTCCTAATTTTCATCTGCATTTTTAATTAAATTGCTCAAAATGGTATCCCACGGGAGCCCTCATTTTGATTTAATGGCTTTTTAGTCTTGCTACATTTTGCAATGCTGCTGTGGATAGACATCCTTTCTCTGTTTTTTTAAAGAAACACTCTCTTTTGTGTTCGATATAAGTTAAGTGGTATAAAGTTCTGTTTGTGTTATATGTCTTGGTGGTTGTTCATTTAGTTTTGGTAAATTTTACTTTTTTTTTTTTTTTTTGGTGAATGAGGAAGTTATTCTTTTAGTTAGCTATGAAATCTATTGTTTGCAACAAACTAACAGCAATATGAAGGGGATAACTAGGGTTTTTGTATAACAAGGTTGTAATTTACCGACTTAAAGTAAGGTTAGAAAATATTACGATATCTCATGAGATATTGATAAATAGTAGAGTATTAAATAACAGTGAACATTGTAGAAACAGTGAACATGATGTTAAAAAAGTCAAAATAAATAAAAAAATTTTCTTTATAATTGAGGTTGTCAGGGATTAAACTAAGAGTCGAGTATTCTACCAATAGACCACATAACTTTTGGCAAAATAATTCAAAGATTTTTTTTAAATGAATGAAATTGTATTTATGAAATTTAAATAGAAACATTGATGTAGAATAAGTAGGGAAAAGACATAGAAAATAGAAATCTAGAGGGAAAATCAGAAATAGATGGAAGCAATTACGAAGGAACAGGGAAATTGAGGGAGAAACAAATTAACAATGGAGAAAACCACAAAGAATCAATAGAGGGAGAAAATCTCAAAAATAAATATTTCAAAATCTCGAATATTCAACATCCAAAACCTAATTGCAACTACAATAACACAGGTATTTATAAATGAAATAAAAACCCTAATAAAACATAAAATACCAAATATAGCCCTAAAATCATAATAAAATGAAAAGCCTAAACAAATTCTCCATCAAAAATCATTGTATGTACCCAAAAAAAACCATTTGTATACATTGAACCAGTATACACTGGAAACATAATTAAGGCTTACTGAGATGCCTTTCGCATTACATTCCTTCCAAATATGATAAACCTATGCAGTCCAAGCTAGCCTGAGACGGGTAGATAAGAAAGATCTTCCTTTCAAATTATTAGTAGCACAATCAAACTCAGCATTCTAATCTCCAGAACACCTTAGTACTTCTGAAACTTGAAGGCCCAATTGCCAAACATATTTCCAATGACTGCAGGTAAAAAAATATGATCTCTGCTATCTTCATCTCCTTGATACAAGCAACAAGTGGTGGACTATAACGTAATGCCCAATATTTCATTCTAGTAAGAGTACTGAATCTGTCCAAGACTGCCAACCAAGCAATAACAGAAAACTTTGGATATGCAGGGGAAACGAGATTAATTTATGTTGGTGGACTTTATGTAATTTTTATCTTAACCAGTTCGGCAATTCCAAGCATCAGCAAACTTAGATTTTCTGGATTTAGAAGTTAGCCAGACAACAAATTCAGTGACACTTGAAACCTGAATCACTCCTGCAGCTTTATCTCTCAATTTTAGGATCCTCCTCCATCTCCAAGTGCAACTACAAAGCATAGGAGTCTTAACTTGCCAAAAACTATGCCTTTTTAGCAAAACAAACAACTCATCTTCTTATATTAACTTTATATTTTGATTAAGCACTTATTTTAAAATGTAAATGTAAAAGTTGTACATCATTTAATTAGTATTTATATTATTAATATATTGCATATAATCATATTTATTTTATTAATTCAATGACCTATGATATATTAAATGGGAGTTTTTACTTATATTTAAGTATAGAATTCCTAAAAATAAATTTTAAGATAATTAGGCCACTTGTTTACTATTTTTTTGATAAATATTACATTTTCCTTTTACTATTTTACTATTATTCTTTCACATTTATGGTAAAAAGAATTCTAAAGGCTTATTACAATTCAATTTTTGTTTTAAAAAACGAAGGAAACAAATTAATGTCGAGATTTTATTAATTTACAACTTTATTCTCTAATTACTTTGCATAGAAAATTTTCATATTTAAATATTAAATCATTAGAAGTGTCAATTGGGTGAGGCGGGTTGGGTTTGGGTTAGGTCACTTAAAGTGAGGTCATTTTGGGTTGAAGAAAATTTCGGATTGTTTCAAATTTGGATCAATTTAGGTTCGAGTCATTTCAGTTTCAGATCATTTCGTGTTTGTGCCTTTTGGGTTTGACACTTGGGTTGTTTGGGTTTCGCCTGTTTTTGGTCCAAATTATTGAGTTTTAAAATAAAATCAGTTTAATTTTGTGTTAGACTTTTAGGTCGTTCGAGTTAGGGTCATTTAAGAATTGGGTAAATTCAGGTTCAAGTCATCTCGGTTTTTTGTTGGATGGGGTTCAAGTCTATTTTTTTGTCAAATCTGGTTGGATAGGGTTCGGGTGGGTCGGCTGGGTTTTTCAGGTTTGGGTCAGCTTGACAGCTCTAGATCAACTACAACAATCATCTTTTAATCAAGAACTTCCACTCATTATTATATTTGTAACTTGGCTATTTTAAATTAAAAAGATTTATTAATGGCCAAAAGGAATGAAAAAGATTTAGTAGAACATAATCAGAACTTCAGAATTAATACAGGTGAATGTGGTTCTATTAATGTTTGAACAATTATATTATGTTGTTATTTATCGGTAGTTCCAATTTTATTAGTAAAAGTTATTAATCACATTTAGATATATTAGCTTTAAATGTTATTAAAGCAAAATTATTTTACTGATTATTATTGCGTACATGTTATTTTGATTTTAGCAATTCAAAGTTTTACAAGTTTTAGATTCTGGTATTTTTCTAAATAATGTTAGTTTGTTGAATTTAGACCAGCGTGGGCTTAATTTAACTCAGTGCTTTATGGTTTTATGTCTTCAATCTTTTTGTTGAATCTTCAAAGTCATTTGCCACTGTATAGTATGTCTATATGCTGCATAGAGGCTAACTCTCATGTAAATTTATAATTATATACTACAACTCATATCCAATCTCCATGAGGTGATACAAGTGCTGATAAATTTCTTTAGTTGACTGGAGGAAAAATTGGTGATCGACTAATGGCTGAAGCTGAAACAAATCTGGCCATAAATGTGCTTCCAGGCTTATCAGATTCTTTTGAGGTTCAGGGGAGAGGAGAACTTCAGCTGGGTTTGTTGTCCAACTGTTGCACTATGCTAGTTATTGTTTTTTATTATTTAATTATATAGCATATAGTGGACTGCATCTTCTTCAACTTCAACATGTAGTTTGCATCAATTTTTCCTGCTGAATTTAACTGGCTGGCATGTGTAACAGGTATCTTGATTGAGAATATGAGACGTGAAGGATTTGAGCTGTCCATTTCTCCACCGAAAGTCATGTGAGTTTTCTTGGATGCTTCCATAAAATATGATCTTACCATAGTAATAATGATAGTATCAGTGGTGATGTTTGGATTCTGAAAGCATGTTCATTAACTTGTCAGTTTCACTTAAACCTTAAGAAGCATTTTGCATTGACCAATAATGAAGGATAAAAAATGTTGTAATCAAGGTACTACAGCCTGCATTGCTGCCTAGCCATAGGAATTGTATTGCTTTATGGTTCTAAAACAAACTCTGTTAACTAATATTTTTTGAGATTAATACTGTTGATCAGATCCTGAAGCCAACTTTCTTACGGTAGGTCTGTTCATGGGGCTTATTGTGAAGGTGAAAAGCTAAATAAGATTTAGAATGATGCAGTGCTGTCAAGGTGTGCACTAGGCCCTAAACAAGCAAAAGTGCCTCAGAACCTTTTGGATGAGGCACAAGCCTGTGCGGCTAGGCATGCCATTTTTGTAAGGCAGTATGTGCAAGAAAAACCTGCCTGATTGAAGTTCTCTTTTATTTTTTTTTAATTTTTAATTTATTCATTAACTGTACCTTTAATAGTAAAAAAGGGGATAATTTCAACTGTCTACTTCTCAATGTTTTAGCATTCAAAAACAAACTTGGGACAGAAGGAAATCATTCATATTGACCAATAAAAGAAAAACTGAAATTTTGCATGTTTTGTATGATAAAAGTGGACCACCTTTTAAAGTTTATTATCAAAATTATATAACTTAATTCTTAATTTTATTTTATAGATATATACACACATATACATATACATATATACATATTGTTCCTTCACTCAGGCTAGTGCGCTTTCTTTTTTTTTTTTTTTTTTTTTTTCTGTATTGTGCTCAGGCAATATAAGAGTTCTAGCACCTAGAGTGAGCCTTATGACAAGGCTGGCATGATGCTAGCTACTGACATATAAGACATTGAAATTTGAAGGCAATTTGAAGTTTGGACCAATGCCTTTTGTGGCAATTTTTATTTTAATTTGAACATTCTTTCTATAAGCATGTGTGCTGGTCATTACCAGAAGACAGTGAAAACTGTGGTTTGTCTGGTCATAGAACTTATTGTGTTTTTTGAATGCTAAACAAGGTTTAGAATGATGCTAGTTTTTGACATATATGACATTTGAATTTGAAGGTTCTATAGAAATTTGAACCAATGACCAATGCCTTTTGTGGCATTTTTTTTTTTTTAATTTGAACATTCTTTCTATAAGCATGTGTGCTGGTCCAACCTTCATTACCAGAGGACAGTGAAAACTGTGGTTTGTCTGTTCATAGAACTTATTGTGTTTTTTGAATGCTAAACAAGGTTTAGAATGATGCTAGGTTTTGACATATATGACATTGGAATTTGAAGGTTCTGATAGATATTTGAACCAATGCCTTTTTTGGCAATTTTGATTTTAAAAGGAACATTCTTTATGTAAACATCGCCACTGATTGAACCTTCATGAGACAGCCAAAATGATAAGAAACTAATCTGAATGCATTATTTTTGCCTTAAATTTTGGACCAATGCATTTTGTCCCAATTTTGATTTTAAAGGAAACATTATATATATATATATATATATATATAAACATAGCCACTGATTGAACCTTAATGAGACTGCCAAAACAATAAGAAATTTAGCTGAATGCATTATTTTGCCTTGAATCCATATCCTAGCTAGATGTCTTCTCTGATTTATGTGGTCAACCTAGTTCCAATTATATATGTAGTTTTAATTTGCAAATAATAGTTTTTTCTCTGGTTAATATTCTTGTAGGTATAAAACTGAGAATAATCAAAAGCTTGAGCCTATTGAGGAAGTGACTATTGAGGTAAGAACTGCAGATTTAGGCATGAATTTGTTTCCCTCTGTTATGGAACTTGGCACATTAATTGTTACTGCAGGTGAATGATGAGCATGTGGGGTTAGTTATGGAAGCTCTATCTCATAGGCGAGCTGAGGTTGCAGACATGGGTCCTGTCCCAGGAACTGTTGGTAGAACTAGATTGTCATTGACTTGTCCATCAAGGTCAGTTTTCTTGTTTCTTGTGAACATTTTGTTTGGGCTGTCAAAAGTGTGGTTTTTTTTTTTTTTGTTTGAGGGGTTGGGGGAATGTTGCTAAAGGAAGGAATGTCTTTTGGAAAATGAAATTCTTCTTCAACCCAGAATTACATTTTGAATGATGATATTTTCATGAACCAAGTATGCATGCATGTGCTTTCTTTTTCTTGGCAAAGAATTGAAATGACAAGGCCTCAATTATTTCTTGAAGAAATCTCTAGAATAAAACTATTTTATTTTTCTATATTTTTCTTATTACAATGCTAGAATTGCATGAAAATATATAGGCTACAGATTGAATATTCTCAGCCTTAAAACCCAAGATTTTCATGCATTAAAAGAGCTAATCAAAGGAGTAATTTACTCTTTACACATATAGGAAAATATCTAATGGATTTGGTGTAATTACCCAAATCACTTCTTATTCTAAAAATAGGAGACTTAGCTAAAAGAGACAAAGTCAACTAATCAAGTAATAATGAAGATTAGATTTCCACACTCCCCTTCAAGCTGGGTGGTAGATGCCAATCATGCTCAGTTTGGACTTCAAATTCTCGCAGTTGTTTTGAGAGAGCCTTAGTGAGTATGTTTGCAGTTTAGAGGCATGTGGGATTATAAACTATTCTAACAATTCCTTCCTTTATCTTCTCTTTGATGAAGTGACGATTAATCTCCACATGTTTAGTCCTATCATGATGAATAGGATTCTTTGCTATACTTATGGGAGCTTTGTTGTCACAGAATATCTTCATGGATTCTTCTGCAAAAACCTTTAACTCCCCTAGCAATCTTTTCACCCAAATTCCCTCACATATGCTATGAGACATAGCTCTAAATTCAACTTCTGCGCTACTTCTAGCTACCACATATTGCTTCTTGCTCCCCCAAGTAACCAAATTTCCCCACACATAGGTACAATAACCAGTAGTTGATCTTGGGTCAATAACGGATCTAGCCCAATCAGTATCAATGTAAATTTCAATATTTCGGAGTGATGTCTTCTTAAAAAATACTTTGTCAGAACTCTTCTTTAGGTATTGTAAGATTAGATACATAGCCTTCAAGTGTTCCTCGGTTGGGTTGTTCATGAATCTGCTTACTATGCTAACTGAAAAAAATCGATATCTGGTCTTGTATGAGAAAGGTAGATGAGTTTCCCAACAAGTCTTTGATATCTACCCTTATCTGTTGGTGGACTTTCTTCTTCCATTCCTACCTTATTCATTGTGTCTATAGGTGTCTCAGTAGGTTTGCATCCAAGCATTCCAGTTTCCTTCAGTAAGTTTGGGACATACTTATGCTATGAAACAGAGATGCCATTCCTTGAGCGAGCTACCTCCATGCCAAGAAAATATTTGAGTTGTCCCAAATCTTTGATTTCAAATTCTTTGGCTAGGAGGTTTTTTAGGTTGCTAATTTCTTCCACATAGTCTCCAGTAAGAATAATGTCATCCATATTGACAATAAGAATAGTTATTCTTCCTTTAGGTGAGTGGTCAAACATGGTGTGATCGGTTTGGCATTGTGAAAAACCATACTTCTTGACCACTCTTGTCTGTCTATGAAACATGCACATGGGGATTGTTTGAGACCATATAAAGACTTTTGAAGCTTGTATACCTTGTTACAATTGTCTTGGTTTTTGAATCCTAGAGGGATTTCCATGTAAACTTTTTCTTCTAGGTTGCCATTAAGAAATGCATTTTTAATATCTAGTTGGTGGAGTGGCCAATCTAGATTTGCTGCCAATGATAATAACACTCGAATTGAATTAAGTTTACCAATTGGAGCAAATGTCTCCTCAGAGTCAACCCCATAAGATTGAGTAAATCCTTTTGCAACAAGGGAACTTTGAATCTGTTAATACTTCTATTTATATTGTGCTTAACAGTAAAAATTCATTTGCACCTAACTGGATTTTTCCCTTTGGGTAGTTTCTGAAATCTCCCATGTTTTGTTCTTTTCTAAGGCCTTGATTTTTTCCAAAACAACCATCTTCCATTTTGGTTGCATGAGTGCTTCATGAATATTATTGGGAATCTACATATTGTTTAGTGTGGTAATAAATGCCTGATAACTAAGTGATAAACCCTCATAAGAAACCACATTATAGATTGGGTGTTGATTACATGATCTCACTCATTTCTTTCGAGCAATTGGTTGATCAAGATCATCAAAAGATTCTGTGAGAAAACATTTATTTACAGCTGGTTGTAATATTATAATCTGTATATTTATAGTTATATCTCTAGAATTAAGAATTTGTATCCTTAGAATTAAGGACAGAAAATTAGGATAGACAATCCCTCAATTAGTGGATCAGTTTTAAGAAGATTTAGTTTTATAGTTTACCCACTAGGTAGTTGTATATAAACCTAAGGTGCTTGTATAATTCTTAATGAGTAGTTTTTCAATATACATTCAGTTTTTCAGATAGTTTTATTTCTTAGTTTTTTTACACAGTATTAGAGTCCGAATTTTCTTCTATTGCCTTTTCCTAATTTGTTACATGGAAGGTTTTTCCATCTTCTCCTACACGTGGTAAGGGCCTGTTATAGTGGGTTATCCCACATCTAATAAATATCAAATATCCTGTAGTCTTCTTATATTCAAGTTAGGCCAATTGGTAGTGAGTTGATGCTTAACATGGTATCACTTTTGAAGAAAGTAAACTATTTTTTACTCAATCTTATCTTCAGGGGGAGACTTCATTCATGGAAGATAAGGATTTTTTTTGCTTGATTTGTCTTCCTCTTCAACATTTTCACCCTTTAATTCTTCTGAGTCTAAAACTATTTCTTTTGAGTCCAAGTCAAACATTGAATTTGAGTCTGAACCCATTCCAAACATAGAAGATGTGACAAAGGATAATATTGTTCATGATTTCATGAATGAATTATAGGTGTACTCAAGAAGGAAAGTTCTAGATCCTGAACCAATATAAGTCCAAGAACCTGATCCTAACTCTGGAAATGAGGTAACTACAATCTTTGACTCTGTTTCTCAAAATGAGCATGAATCTCCTAAAACTGACTAGTAATTATGATTTGTCTATTGCCATTAGGAAAGGAACCAGAGAATGTACTAAGCATCCACTATACCCAATTTCTAATTTTGTGTCATTTGAAAAATTTTCATCGTCCCACAAAAATTTCCTTGTGAGCCTAAACACTATTTCTATTCCAACTACATTATCCGAGGCATTATCTAGTGAGAAATGAAGGCAAGCCATGAAAATAGAAATAGAGGTCTTAGAGAAAACTAAAAGATGAGAATTGGTAGAGTTGCCTAAAGAAAAAAATTCAGTTGGGTGTAAATGGGTTTTTATTGTAAAATACAAGGCGGATGGTACTGTTGAAAGGTATAAAGCCAGGGTGGTGGCTCAGGGCTACACAAACTTGTGGAGTGGATTACCAAGAAATTTTTGTTCTAGTTGCCAAGATGAATACAATTAGGATTTTGTTATCATTGGCGGCAAATTACAATTGGCAGCTTCAACAATTTGATGTAAAGAATGTTTTCTACATGGTGATTTGGAAGAAGAAATATATATGAAGGTTCCACTAAGATGTGGAGGTCATCTAGAAACAAACAAAGTATGCAAGCTGAAAAAGGCTTTATATGGCCTTAAATAGTCTCCTAGGGCTTGGTTTGGGAGATTTGCCAAAGTGATGCTAGCAATGGGATATAAGCAGAGTCAAGGGGATCTCATATTGTTTATCAAACACTTTGATTCAGGGAGAGTCACAGTTCTATTAGTGTATGTTGATAATATAATTGTAATAAGAGATGATGACAAAAAGAAAGAATCTTTAAAATAGTGTTTGGCTAGAGAATTTGATATAAAAGAGCTAGGGAGATTGAAGTACTTCCTAGGAATTGAAGTTGCTCACTCATGGCATGGGATTTTCATCTGACAAGAGAAATAGTGATGGATCTTTTAAAGGAAATTGGGAAGTTTGTATGTAAAGTTGTAAATACTTCTATAGATCCTAGTCATAAACTTGGAGAAGCTAATGAAGAGGCTGCTATAGATAGAGAGATGTACCAGAGATTAGTTGGAAGACTCATTTATCCTTCACATACTAGACTTGATGTAGCATATGCTGTGAGTGTGATAAGTCAATTTATACATAGTCCTAAAGAAGTGCAGCTACGGGCTGTCTACCATGTATTGCACTATTTGAAGGCCGATCCTGGGAGAGTTATTTTATTCAAAAGAAATTTGAGGTTGGTTCTAGAGGCATATATAGATGCGGATTATGTAGGTTTAGTAACTGATAGAAGATTCTCGTTAGGCTACTGCACTTTGCTAGGTAGTAATCTTGTGACTTGTGGGAGTAAAAAACAGAATGTGGTGGCAAGATGCTAAAGCAGAGTTCAGAGTGATGGCTTAAGGAATTTGTGAACTACTATGGTTAAAGATTATCCTAAAAGAGTTGAAGATCAAGTGGGATGGACCAATGAGACTTTACTGTGATAACAAGTCTGCAATAAGCACTGCATACAATTCTGTGCAACATGATGGAACAAAACACATTGAAGTAGATCGACATTTCATAAAAGAGAAACTAGACAGTGAGTTGATTTATACACCATATGTATCAATCAAGGGTCAACTTGTAGATGCGTTGACTAAAGGTCTCAACAGTGCAACATTTCAAGAAATTATTTCCAAGCTGGGAATGGAAAACACCTATTCACCAGCTTGAGGGGGTGTGTGGGAGAACATTTATTTACAGTTGGTTGTAATATTGTAATTTTATTTTTAGAATTAGGTATTTGTATCCCTAGAATTAAGAATAGAAAATTAGGATAGACAATCCCTCAATTAGAGGATCAATTTTAGGAAGATTTAGTTTCCTAATTTATCTACTAGTTAGTTGTATATAAACCTAAGGTGCTTGTATAATTTTTAATGAGTAATTTTTCACAGTTTTATTTCTTAGTTTTTCCACAGATTCAAT